GAACTTGCTGCAGCTTTAGTTTCAAAAGCTCCACAGAGAGAATTGGCACACCTCTTCTTCACAGTTGAGTATGAGGCACTTGTTACCTAATGTTTGCATCATATACTCATAGATTTCCTTTGGAATTTTCTTCTGCAGGAACAGAGACTTTATGATATTCGGTAGCTCAGCACATGAAAATTCCACTTTTAGTTGACATGGTTCTATCAATGATCTGAAAATAATAATAATCGAAAATTAGAGCTAGTTCTGTAAATTGATACTTTACAACACAAAAGAGCACTCTTTCAAGCACAGAGACAAAATTATGCTTAGATTTTGGGAAGTGGATTGAGCCAAGAAATTTTCAGCACCCACACATATAGTGTCATCTCCATATCTTAAATGTTGATGTTCTTTCCTTCACTGCTCCTTCCTTTGAGTTTAATCCATCTTTATATATAATACTTTAAGTGAACATTTTAAATGGATAGGGTAATTTCATGCAGCCTTGCCTGATTACATTGCCAACTAGGAACAATCATTGTGCTATACCTATTTCAAGAAATGTGTACTTATTGTTGCATTATTGCTCTTTGAATAGGTTTTTGTACCTGACAGCTGTTTGCCCTTGATTCCCATTCAAGTGTGGATCACGGGTTATATTTCTGAAACTTCTCCTGTTAGGAAAGCAATGTGTATAGAAGGAAATGTAGATCTGCTCTTGTTGCCTAAAACTCATGTGTCTATTCAATGGCTTCACCAATCCACAAGCTTGTTCAAATATCCAAGTGTGAAACTTGTACTTCTGTAGCTTGAGACTTGTAGTTTATGTTCTGTTCAGGTGATATGAAAACTGAATTTGAACAAATACAACAACCAAATTTGTATGTGTGTGTATATGTGTGTGTGTGTGTGTGTGTGTGTGTGTGTGTGTGTGTGTGTGTGTGTGTGTATATATATATATATATATATTCAGTTGATTTTTGTTCTGTGTTATAATGTTGCAGGTTGCTACCCATAATAGCCAGGGAGACATTTCACACCAATATCCTTTGATACTGCATCATGGATTCTGTCTTTCCCCACACTGAAGGATAACAATGGAAAGTGAGCAGATCCAGTGTGAAAAGAAAACAAGCATTTGCTTCATGGGTCATGGTTTCTTGTTTCCTCCACAGGGGAAGGATTTCAGTTGAAGCATTTTTAATTCAGTAAACACAGGAAGCACAGTTTACCATACAGCCTGTTAAAGGGCTTCTCTTTTCTTACTTTAACAGAACCTGAAATTATTGCATCTTTAGCTGGAGTTAAATATGTACTGTTACTGATAATACCTTGGACCTAGGTATAGATTCTGTCAACTTCTGGTTTACAGTTGGCTTTCCTCATTCATGGGTGTTAGTGGCACAGGACCCCCATGAAAATGGAAAAGCCATGAATATATTTAGGCTTCTGAGGAAATATTGCCAGGGAGGGAAGATGGGGGGGCCACTGCTGCTGCTGCTGTGGATCTTGGGGGGTCTCACTGCAGCTCCTGGCTCAAAATCCTCCACCCAACTTCACTCTCCGCCTCTCTCTCATTTGGTTAGGATGGATGTGGAGGTGCCAGGTTCAGTGGAGGAAAAGAGCCCAAGAGGACAACTGGATCGAGTGTCAGGGGGCCATGATAAGTGTGTGGGGAACAACCTCTTCCCTCCCTTCCTCATTGGGTGCCACCTGCACCTCTGGGCCAGCTATAAGGAGGGAGGAACCGGGTTTGGGTGGGCACATGGAATGAGGCAGAGCTGAGGGCAGCCTATGGATGAACAGATGCCTGGCAGACTGGCTGTTAGCAGGTGACCAGGAAGTGGGTTCACCTAGCAGGAGGGCAGTGCCCAGAAGGAGGTAGAAGCTGGCTGGGGACATCATCCAGTGAGGCGCCACTTAGCAGCAGTGGGAGTGATGGCAGTTAGGGGTATCTCCTATGTCCTGCATCCATTCATCTACCCACCCATCCACCAATCTGCTTACTTCCTGGCCTCAGGCAAACTTCCAAATATCAAATTTGTAATAATTAAAACCTCAAGTGTTGAGGGCTGACTATATTTCCTAGTTAAATAAATGCTTCTCTTGGGGCTAAAACAGCCAGGAATGTAGTAAAATTGTTTGTCAATTCCTGTGTGGGTCATTTTTATCAAGGAGAAGAGGAAGGAAAGGAAGGAAGGATTTTTAACATACAGAAGAGTTTCACAAAGACTTGTTTGTAATTGCATTTGGTGTGTCTGGCATCAGTGGGCATGATACTGCGTGTCTCACTATTATTCAACTTTCAGAGAAGTAGCAGAAGTTAGTCTCTTTCAGCATAAAAAGGAGGGAGGGGGAAAGGAAGGAGTGTACCAGCACTTTTAAAATAAACTGTTTTTTACTTTAGCATGAGCTTTCATGGATAGAAATCAATTTCTTTGGATGCAGTACAGAGCGATAGCCAGGGCTCAAGATATAAAGCATATTCACACAATTGTGGGACTGGGATGGAATGTAATAGCATCCAGAAAGTTGCAAATCATAACTCTTGCCTTAAATTTTCAAAGGACTGTGTAAGGTCTTTCAGATCTTCACAGTGGTCAGTTAGTGTTGATGTGAGAAAGTAATAAATCTGCTTTCCCAAAGTTCAAAGCCTTCTCTGAGAAGATTCTTTTTGTTACATATGCAGTAATAAGGATTCTTATATTAATAAATGTAGGGTGTCATGAAACCATTGGTCTTCGCTTATACCTCTGTTGATGGATTGGCATTTGTAAATAGAATTCAATCCAACTGTTTCTCTTTCTAGTCTTCCTTTGTAATTTACTTGTTCAAGGACTGTGACCTTTAAATCTTGTACTGTACATTATTATTATTATTATTATTATTATTATTATTATTATTTATATCCCGCCCCTCTGCCAGGCAATCGAGGTGGCATACAACATTACAAAACTTCAAAACAATAAATCAAATTGAAATCCCATCCCTCCTTCACCCGCCCACCCATCCCCCCAAACATACTAAACAAATTAAATAACAGTAATTAAAAAAAATCCAGGGAAGTTGAAATGCTCCGTACCTGGTTTTGTGGTAGTGCCACTTCTAATGTCCAGTTTGTGTCCATTTATCCTCTTCTGCAGAGTCTATCCTTTTTGTAGAATGTAGAGGGACATTGCTTGCATAGGATGGCATATAGCATGTTGGAGGAGGAACTAGTGAATGAACCCTTATGTTGTGGATGATATTATTGGCCCCTGTAATGTTGCTCCCAGAGTAGATGTGGGGACACAATTGGCATCTGGGTTTGTCGCAGGTTCTTATCCCTGTATTGCCATCCATGTTAAGTATCCTGTTGTAAGTGAGTAGTTGTTTAAAACATGGAGGCTATCTGTAGGCCAGTAAAGAGCTCATGAGAGAGCTGTATGATTCTCCATAATGGGTTGTAGCTCATTGATGATGTATTCTGAGTGGTCTCAGCTGAAGACAATAGATGACCACTAGGGATGCTCTGTCATTTTATATTGTTGATCTGTTCTGTAATAAGATTGTTTCTGGGAACTAATCTTTTTGTTTGTTTGTTTGTTTCTTTACCTCCTTAGGTGGATATTGTAGTTTGATATTAACTTGTGAGTTAGTAGCTTTTAGCAAGTTATATGTACACATCTTCCCAGAAGGTCTACCCAGTTTGACATTTTTTCAGTGTCACAATAAAAAAAGTTCAGTATAAGTGGGTACTGGAAACATCATAGATTTTGAACAATTACTAAGGAAGGTCAAAGAAGAAAGTGCAAAGGTAGAGTTGCTTCTGAACATAAAGAAAACAAAAATAATGACCATGGAAGATGAACATAAATTCAACCTAGATAATAAGGATATAGGAATAGTTAAAGAGTTCCCATATCTTGATCATTGATCAGAACGGAGACTGCAGTCAAGAAATAAGAAAAATAGGAAGGACAGCAATGGAAGAACTAGAGAGGATCCTAAAGAGCAAAGATATATAAAATGGTCCAGTGGATATGAAAGCTCGACAGTGAAGAAAGTGGAAAAAAGAAAATAAACCTCTCTGAGATGTGGTGCTGGAGAAGACTGCTGGGAATACCGTGGACAGCCAAAAAGACAAACAAAGGGGTCCTTGAACAGATCAAGCCTGAACTCTCCCTTGAAGCCAAGATGATCAAATTGAGGCTGTTGTATTTTGGCCTCATTGTAAGAAGGCATGACTCACTAGAAAAGACAAAAATGCTAGGTAGTAGAAAGAGAAGAAGATTTCACTCCAGATGACTAGACTGAATTAGGGAGGTCATCACTTGAATCTGCAAGAACTAAGCAGAGCAAATGGAAGGTCTTGGAGATCTCTCATCTACAGGGTCGTCATGAGTCAAGGTCCACTCAAAGGCAGTTAACAGCAACAACAAATGAACGGGTACTATAGGTCAGGAAAGGTGCTATCCTGTCCAAAAGTTCACAGCATGTTTAATGAGGAAACTATTAGAAAAAAAAGATCTCTTCCATAAAATAGTGAAATGAGAAGAACAAAAAGGAAGGCAAACATGTGCAAAAGAAATACAAGAAGAGAGCAAGAAGTTGAGGTGGATATTGTACAGAACATTGAGAACAATACAGGGGGGAATCTATTAATGTGTGAGAGGCAGATAAACACCTAGGGAGGCAGGTGGCCTGTTGGATAAAAAGGGAGTTGAGTGAGTATTACAGGAGATCAGAGAAGCTGAATGAATGCTTTGCATATGTTTTCATTGCATAGGATGTAGGTCAAATACCTGTGCTTGAACTAGCATTTTTAGGAAGTGTTCATGATTAAATGAGACAAATAGTGTTGAACTTTGTTGTTGTTGTTGTTGTGTCCGTTCAAGTTGTTTCCAACTTAAAGTAGCTGTAGGGTAAATCTATCTTCCCCCCCCCCCCAAGATTTGTTCATGGCAGGTTTACCTTTGCCTTTCTCTGGAAGGCTCATAGAAGGGGCTTGCTCAGGATTACTCAGTGGGTTTCCATGACTGAATGGGGATTTGAACCCCATTTCCTGAGTCCTAGTCCAATGCTCTAGCCACTGTACCATGCTGGTTCCTATTGAAGTTCTGGACCTTTGAATCAAACAAGTTATTTGGTCCAATTGGTATCTGTTTTTCAGTTCTTAAAGAACTCAAATATAAATTGCTGATCTTCTAACAAAAATATGTAACATTTCCTAAGATCAGTACCTGTGACAGAGGACTATATAATGCCAATTTTTATGAAGGATCCAGGAGATTTTTAAGGAAATTCAATAAATAGCAGGCTTGTTATCTTAATAGCTATTTTAGGTAAATTGCCAGAAAACATTATTTCAGTATTTTAAAATTGTAAACTTCAATTTTAAACAGCAATTATTATATATGAATGCAAGTAAACTAACATAGACAGTAAATGTATTTATATCACAATTCTAAATGACTTAAAAATTGAAGAATTGCAGATATTTCTGTGGTTAGGACCTATATTTCTCAAAGGACAGTTCTCATAGCACTTAGTAAAAAATCCATATTTGAAACTGGGAGTGCAAAGGGGAGGGGTGGAGCCATACGTAGTGTTTGAAATGTCAAACACTATGGGAGGGGGGGGGCGGGAGGGAATATCCCATTGTAGAGGGATCTCCAGACTACTCAAATCCCAGCTGTAAAAAATTGATAGTTGTAAAGTCAAGCCAAAAAAACACGAGAAAAGAATGGAGATCAGTGCTTGAATTTGCAGTTTCACCAGGTGAAACCTATTAATATTGATAGTTTATAGTTACCTAAAATAGTTGTATCATATATGTCTGTTCTCTATAGAACAACAAGGAGGTGTACAGTGAACTGGAAAAATTTAGACATAAGAAAACCAATTAAAACAAACAACATATAAAATAAACACAGTCTGACTATGTAATCCAGCACAATAAAAAAAAAAGATAAGCATCATTGATATTACTAATAATGTTAGTTTCAATGTTGTCAGTGAGATATAGTAGTAATATAATCACAGATGAAATAAGAGATTATATAATGCAGTGTAGCATATGCAGGTTGTTTATTGCAACACGTTTCAAAAACATCCTTGGAGATTTTCAGGATTTTAGACAGTAGAATATGTAAAGATTCAGGAAGTTGTCTGCAGAAAAACAGTGGCAGTTGCCTTCTAAATCTTTAATCCTCACTCCATCTGTATCCTTTTGTACAGAGTTCTTTAAAAATCTTGACCAACCATGATTATAATGCAAATCCAAAAGATAAAGCTTTCTACTCAAAATTCCATAGGAATTTCCTAAATTTCCTAAAGGAATAAATTAATCTATACACAATATAAACCAACTCTGATAATGTAGCATCTTCAGGTTTTATTATCCTCTTAATTCCCACAAAGATGTATAGTTGCATATCATATTGAACTTTCTTTCATTACATTATTAAAATACTTCATTTTCAATGGAGCAATTAGCATTTGCCATCTTTTTTGACTCTGATGATATTTGATAATTTGATCACATATGCCATATCCCCAGATTGTAAAAACCAGTAATTCATGCCTTGAATAGCTATACACAGGAGATGAATAATATCCATATAGGTTGAGTCTTCCTTGTCCAAAATGTTTGGGACATGAAGTGTTTTGGATTTGGTTTTTGGGGGATTTTGGGATTCTGTATTTGCATGTACATACAAAATGAAGATATATTTGAGATGGGACCCAAGTCTAAACACAAAATTCATTTATGTTTCATATGGACTTTATACCCATAGCCCAGGCCTGCACAACATACGACCTGTGAACTGCACACGGCCCGCCAAAGGATTTTGGTTGGTCCGGGAGGAGAGGGCCATGTTCAACATAATTAGGGTTTCTAAGGCAAGGAATATTCAGAAGTGGACAGGAATGGGCATAATGAGTCAGATAATTACACTGTGTTTTAATCAGGAAATGCAAATCTAAGAAGTGGACTGGTATTAATAGTGAGGAGAGATGTAATATAAGCAGTCAAGGGATATAATTCCAAGTTTGAATGAATAATATCAATAAGACAGAGGTAGGCAACCTAAGGCCTGGGGGCCTAATGCGGGCCCCCGAGGCCTTTGGACCAGCCCCAGGCCGGTCCTGCTGCCTCCCCCCACCGCCGCTGCCACCCGCCATTATGATATTGATTATTGTTGTTATTACTTGTTCTTGGGGTTTTCTTGGCAAAATATCCACATGGGTTTTGCCATGGGTTTTCTGGGGCTGAGAGAGTGTGCATGCATATTTTTAAAATTTTTTAATTTTTTTTAAAAAATATTTATTTATTTATTTATTTATGGTGCTTCGGCCCCCCAGTTGTCTGAGGGACAGCAACCTAGCCCCCGGCTCAAAAAGGTTGCCTATCCCTGCAATAAGACTTCATCAAAAACCCATAATCCAAGTTTATGCTCCAATCACAGAGGAAGAAGAAGAAATTGAAAGAGTCTGCTCCGGAGTCCAGGGGGAAGTTGAGCACACACCAAAAAAGGACTTCTTTTTAATCATAGATGATTGGAATGCAAAAGTAGAAAACAGAGCAGAATCAAAGATTGTAGGAAAATCTGTTTAGGATCAAGAAATGAAGCAAGAGAGCAACTGACTGAATTTTGTGAATCCAACAGTTTGTTCATACAAACACATTCTTCAAGCAACCAAAGAGGTGACTCTATATCATGTGATGACCAATGTAGAAATCAAATGGACTACATCATTGGAAACAGAAGATGGAGAAACTCCATTCTGCAAAAACAAGACCAGAAACAGATTGTGGCACAAACCATGAACTGCTAAACAGTAAAGTTAAAGAACACTAAATCAATCATTGTGTCAAAATGCAACCTGAAGAACATCTCTTTAGAATGTAAAGATAATATCAAATAGATTTGTACTATTAAGGCTAGTTGACTAGGAGCCAGAAGAACACTGGACTAAAGCCAGGAACGTTATGAGAGAAGAGTGGAAAGACAGTATTTATCACCTCTGTCATCCATCTATATATGGATGGAAGATTAAACTCTTTAAGCAGTTAAGTTCAGACAAGAAGCAAAAGTGAAAGGTGACAAAAATAGGGCCAGAACCCTGAATGCAACTGTTGAATTAATTGTGTACAGGGACAAAGAGAACTGCTGTAACAATCAATGCAGAGAAATGGAAGATCACAACAAAAGGTAGAAAAGAGATGGCTTCCACAAGATCTGAGAATTCAAAGGGAAATTAAGGCCAAGAGTGGAGATGTTGTATAGGCAATAGCAGAATGCACTGCATGATCAAGAAGAAATAAGATGACAAAAACAATATACTGAAGAACTGTATAGAAGAGATGAAAGATCTCAGATTGATTTGAGGAAGAACCATTTGAAAATGAACCCACAATTTTAGAAAATGAAGTGAAAGCTGCACTCAAAGCACTTGGTAGAACTAAATCACTAAAAACAGATGGCATATCAATAGAGCTGGTTCAAGCAAAAGAGACAGAATCCACTCAAATTCTAACTAAAGTCTGTCAACAAATATGGAAGACAAAAGAGAACTTGTGATATGCAAGTCAAAAATAGTGTCCCGATGTTGTCAAAATAAATGTGTGAACAAAGTAATTTGATATTTTGATAATGACCTAGGTTGGCCACAGAAAGCTCTCTCAGTGTCTCTTGTTGTATAGAAATATTTTCCAGTAGTTCAGTTTACAAAGGGAACACCCTTGTTTGCTCCAGAACAACTAACATTTACTCACATGACTCAGAATTGAATACTGCAGCTCCCTTTTGGCCTGTTTTTCATTATTGGTGAGTCATTGAGAACCAGTATATCTGTGAACTGGAACTGAGCCAACCTTCAGATGAATACATCATTCATGTGCCTAATTCTCAGATTCTTTATCTAGACTCTTATATGTTGCTGGGTATATGGAGAGAATCCAGCACTTGTACCTTAGTGTCACTGTCAGTATTATAGACTTTGTTTTGTATTGTGCCTACTGCTATTCTCTGTGGAGTTTCTCTTGTTGGATCTAGGTGGGTTAAACAGTAGAGAAAAAACTGACTTACTGTTGTGAAGTTGAAGGCTTTCATGACCAGCATCCATAGTTTTTTGTGGGTTTCTCAGGCTATGTGACCGTATTCTAGAAGAGTATATTCCTGACATTTTTGCAAACCGAACCAATGATTGAGCCACACAGTATACAGAAAACCTACACACAGAGACAGATACTTAAACAAGAACTTCAATAATCACCCAGGACAAAAAAGAAGCACAATAAAAACACTGGTGGAAAAAGGATCTGTGGACCCCACTACCTGGAAGATGAACTGAAGCATCTAAATTGGGTTCTACAGGCAAATGGTTACTCCAGCTCAAACATCAGAAGAGTGGCCAGACCCAGAAAATAATCACAAGAGTGAAGAAAAACAACCACTTAAAGGGAAAGTATTTTTTACCATACATCAGAGGAGTCACAGACAGAATAGAGAAACTGATGAGAAAACACAATCTCCAAATGGTCTACAAATTGACCAAGAAAATCAAGTAAATGCTGCGCTCAGCTAAGGACAGGAGAGACCCTCTTACAGCTGCAGAAGTTTACCGTATACCATGGAACTGCAGACAAGTCTACATAGGGACCACAAAATGCAGTGTTCAAACACAAATCAAGGAACATGAGAGACACTGCAGACTGGGCCAGCCAGAAAAATCAGCAGTAGCAGAACATGTTATAAGCCAACCTGTGCATATAATGCTATTTGAAAACACTGAAATTCTGGACCATGCTAAAAACTATCAGGTCAGAATACACAGGGAAGCCATTGAAACCCACAAACACTTGGACAACTTCAACAGGAAAGAAGAAACCCTGAAAATAAACAAAGTTTGGCTACTAGTTCTCAGAAAAACCAAAATCAAGACTCAGTGCATGCAAATGAACTTCACCTAGGGGCAGGGGTTTTCC